GGCTATCATTGTCCCCTTCCTTGAATGCTCGGCCTCAGCACCAAGATTCTGGAGCAAGAAAATAATCTTCTATTCACAGAAAGGCAGCAGACTTATAGCACTTAAGAAGACCAGCTCCAGAGTGAGGCAGCCTGGATCTAGATTTTAACTTGATCACTTACTAGCTGCATGAGCTTAAGCAATCATTTGATTTCTTCAAGCCTTAGTTTTGTTACTTCTCATAGAAAGAGAATAATAGTGCCTCTGTCATGGGACTACTGTGAGAATTTATTATTAATATTAATTTATTATTAATAATGATAGCTAACACTGAGAAGCACTTACTGTGAACTAGGCATTCTTTTAAACACATTACATGATGTAATTCACTAAATCTTCAACATAACTTTGTGAGACAGGTACTCTTATTACTCCATGTTGTACATGTGGAACTGAGGATGAGAAGGGCTAAGTAACTTCCTCAAGGTAACACAGTTAGTAAGCAGCAGAGCTGAGCATTAAACCCATTTGGTCTGTCCCAGAGGCCACCTCTTAAGCACTATGCTTTACTTTATAGCACAAAAATCACATAAGTAGAGTGGTGAACACAGTGCCTGGCATATGTAAATCGTTGGTATATGAGGCTAGTTATGATTCACTAACTTGATGTAGCCTCACTGTTTTAATGAATGGCTAAATATGTGACACATAAAAAATGGAATATGTTTTTTTAATATGAAAAATGGGTTTTCACAGCTGGAGTCTCCATAATGGAAAGAATGGTGGTCTTTGTTGCCCCCAGGGCTGCAGCTCCATTCACTCACACACAAAGAAAGGAAGGACAATTTATTTCGCCACTTAGCTTAGCAAACCACTTTTGATTCTCAGAGCAGCTTTTCATCTCTACCCACCAAACCTCCTCCTCTTCCTTCTACAGCCTATTTAGGCCCACTGCTTCTCTCCAAACTTTTATCCCTATAAATTTGATTCACTTGGTATGTCAGCAGGAGAGAGGAAGAGTAGAAAGGAGGGAGAAAAGGAAGAATGGAAACAGAAAGAGAGAACGAGCATGGAGAGAGAGAGACGGGGGGCGGGGAGAGAAATGAGAGACACCTTCTTGGAAAATAGAAGGAGAAATAGTCAGGACCAACAGTCCCATTCAAATCTAATCTTAAATAATAGATTGCAACAATTGTCTTATAAGAATGTTTACTGACAAGGAAACATGTCCACAATATATGATTGAGAAAAACAGGCTACAAAATATATTGTGTGACACCCTTTTGGAGTATGTTTATCAGTATACAAATACAGAAAAAAAGACTAGAAGGAAATATGCTAAGATGTTAACAGTAATTATTTGTAGTTTGTGAGGTTGCAGATTATTTTTCTCCTTTAAATTTTTCTGTCATTTCACCAGAATTCTAAATGAATATAAATGACTTATGTAATTGAATAAAGTTCTGAGGCAGAGAAAAATGTAGGAACAAGGTATGTCTGTACAGTCTATATCAGGGGTGGGTCCTACCCCCAAGAATGCCCTGTCCTAGGGAGCAATGATTGTGTCCTATGCTAAATAGCATTTCTTGTGTGCAAGGGAATGCCTAGGCTACTCAACAGACCCTCAGAAAGCTTCAAGGTGCATGGTTGGCTCTCAGTCAGCTCTGAGTGCCTAATCTTCCTGACCAGACAGGTCCATAGGGATGGAAAGCCCTGACCTGTGATGTGCCCACTAGGACACTCTGTGTCCCTGCCAATGGTTCAGGAAATAGTGGTATAGTTAACATCTTAAAGGCTTGCCATATGGGGCAAAAAGAGGCTCTCCAGAGCAGGGCTACAGAGTCGAAAGCAAACAGATCAAGAACTAATGAGTGAGGAGGGTCAGAGCTCACAAAAGAAAGGTGAGGCCTGGAAGTATTTTTCCTAAGCCGGAAGTTTCTTAAGTAAGGTTCCTTTTTGGGGTATGGCTGTGTTGGAAATGGGTAAAAGATTTCAGGTAAGATATAAACAGAGGCCACAAAATCAAATGCCTTTGGGGGTCAGCCTGGTAGGATAAATGACTACAGGAACCTGAGTGAGGACTGTGATGGCTGGAAGGAACATTTCCCATGTAAAAGAGCAGTGGGAAGCCTGAGAATGTGGGACCAGGGTTTCCATGTCTTAGGACTTTTCAAGAGAAGATAAAATTCCAAATATTTATATGAAAACTTTCAACAATTTCTTTTTGTCAAGACACTACAGGCCAAGCAATATTAATATGTGGGCCACAATTTCGACTTTTTTTTTTTTAAATATATCTTTATTGATTTCAGAGAGAGGAAGGGAGAGGGAGATACAGAGATAGAAACATCAGTGATGAGAGAGTCATTGATCGAGCCCGCAACCTGGGCATGTGCCCTGACCGGGAATCGAACCCTGATCGCCTGGATCCTAGGTCGACTCTCAACCGCTAAGCCATGCCCGGCCTGGCACAATTTCGACTTTTTATTTGAAATAGTTATAAATTCACAGGAAGTTGTAAAGATCTTACTGAAGGGTCCTGTGTACCCTTCACCCAGTTTCCCACAGTGGTTACATCTTACATAACCATTGTAAAATATCAAACCAGGAAATGGACTTTGGCACAATGTGTGTATACTTCTATGCAGATTGATCACGTGTGGGTTTATGTATCTAATAAGACAGTCAAAATACAGAACTACACCCTTCCATATCTGTGGGTTCTGCACCTGCAGATTCAACCAACTATGGATGAAAAATACTTTTTAGAAAAGTTACAGTGTTGTTGACATGCACTTATGTAGTTAAGCTTACAATGGTTGTGTCTGTACTTAATACATACTGATTTTTTCTTGTCATTATTCCCTAAATAATACAGTATAACAACTTACATTGTATTAGGTATGATAAGTAATTTAGAGATGATTTTAAATGTACAAGAGGATGTGCATAGGTTACATGCAAATACTATGCCATTTTATACAAAGGATTTGAGCATCTGTGGATTTTGGTATCCATGGAACCAATCCCCAGCAAATACCACGGGACCACTGTATTCCATTACCACAAAGATCTCCCTCTTACTGCCCCTAAATAATCACACCCACTTTCCTCTCCCCATCATTCCTAACCCCTGGCAACTACTAATCTATTTCCCATCTCTATAATTTTGCCATTTCAAATATGTTATATAAATAGAATAATATAATATGTAACCTTTTGAGATTGGCTTTTTTTTTTTTATTCATCATAATGCCTTAGAGATCCACCCAAGTTTTCGATACATTAATAATTCATTCATTTTTAATGCTGAGTAATATTTCATGGTGTGGATAGACCAGAGTCTGTTTAACCATTGATTAATTGAAGGACAATTTTGTTGTGTCCAGTTTAGGGCTATTAAAAATAAATCTGCTATAAACAATTGTGTACATGTTTTTGTGTAGACAGAAATTTTCATCTCTAGGATAACATTCCAGGAGTGTGATTGCTGAGTCATAAGGTAAGTACATGTTTGTTTTATAAAAAACTGCAAAACTCTTTTCTAGAGTGGCTGTACCATTTTTCATTTTCACAAGGAACATATGAGTGACTCAGTTTCTCTACATCCTTGGAAATATTTGGTGTTGTCACTAATTTTTTACTTTAACCAATCTCACAGGTGTGTGGTGATATCTTGTAATTTTAATTTGTATTTTCCTAATGGCTAATGATATTGATTAAGTTTTCATGTGCTTATTTCCTATCTAAATATTCTCTTCAATGAAATGTATATTGATGTCTTGGGCCCATTTTCTAATTGCATTTTGAGTTTTTTACTGTTGACTATTGAGAGTTCCTTATATATTGTATGTACTAGTTTTTGTGAGATACATGGTTTGCAAATATTTTCTCTCAGCACTAACTTGTCTTTCTACTCTTTTAATAGAGTCCTCATAGAGCAAAGTTTTTAAATTTTATGAGGTCTAATTATTGATTTTTCTTTTATGAGTTGTTGGTTTTTTAAAAATATGTTTTCATTGATTTTTAGAGAGAGAGAGATAGAAACATCGATGAGAGAGAAACAGCAATCAGCTTCCCCCACATGCTCCCTACTGGGGATCGAGCCCACAACCTGGGCATGTGCCCTGATCAGGAATTGAACTGGTGACCTCTTGGTGCATGGGACTACGCTCAATCCACTGAGCCACACCGGCTGGGTGGGATTGTTTTTCTTTTTTCTTTTCTTCTTTCCTTTTCTTTTTCTTTACTATTTTTTTTTTTTTTTTTTTTTTTTTTTTTTT